CTCATTTTCCCTCCTTTTGAATTTTTCCCATTGCATGTAGACGTTTGGAAACAGCCATCGGAGTAACATTTAATGCTGCAGACAATTCTTGGAGCGTTTGAGTATAGTTTTCGTCCAATAATGCTTGCAAATCGGTGTCTTCAAACTTTTTCGGTTGGCCTGAGCGTTCTTTATCATTGACATCAAAATCTCGAACCTTAAATCGCTGAAACCATACTTGGCATGTTCTTTCCGATGGAGCATAATTGCCATAAGCTTCAAAAAGCAATTTATGAGCTGCAGATGCAGTTTTTTTCAAGTCAAAATAATGAAGCAGCTCATGTCGAAAAAACAACTTATCGTGTTCCATATTTAATCAAAAGAAAAAATAGCACTGCTCGCTTAAATGAATCTCTTCGCACTGAATTTTATTGACAAATATCTAATGTTTAAACGTCTAAAGTTTCAGATGTCAAAATAAATTACAGCTACAACTAACGTCATCTAACTGTGAGCCGCAGGAACTAAGTTTACCACCTAATACAACGCGAGATACAGATTATTAAAGCCCTCTATTGGAAAAATAATGGATTACTTTTTACTAAACCTCATATATGTGTTTTTTATTTAGTGTGCATGTGTGCATGATTGAAGTGTAATTTGTTTAAAAATAAAATATAATATTACAACGTTTCTGGAGAGAGGTTTTTTATTTTAAAGATAATCAGCCAACTGATCGCGTCTTTGCGACCGCCAAGTGTGTAGATACATAATATTACGTAATGCGCAATTTTTCAGATGTCGTCCGCATAGAAAAAATGATTCTCCTATCAATGTTTCCAAACGACCAATGTCTTCATAATCCACATCGATTGTTTCTATGCCGACAGTCATGTCGCAGTCCCCAAGCAGAGACAGCAACTAATCCTTTTTTTGTAANTGCGCAATTTTTCAGATGTCGTCCGCATAGAAAGGATGATTCTCCTATCAATGTTTCCAAACGACCAATGTCTTCATAATCCACATCGATTGTTTCTATGCCGACAGTCATGTCGCAGTCCCCAAGCAGAGACAACAACCAATCCTTTTTTTGCAAACCTTTAACGTAAATCACTGTAGTGCCAGGAGACATATTCATGAGAACTTCTTGAATGAGCGGTCTCATTCTCCTGTAATCAATATCACTATCGGACCATCGTAGACAATGATGATTGGCGGATAACCAAGACGCCTGCGCTTTTCCCGCTTTCGTTAGAAGATCCCATGCCATAGGCGGCATAAACATATAATGAAAGAGTTCGCGATCGTTATTATTGTTGTTACGTAACGCAGCGAATTCTTTAACAACGAAACGTTCGCGCACAACGAAACCTTGGATGTCGACAAACGTAGGTACGGATACGTTCGACATTATTGCAGAGACACTTATATGAGGATATATATATGTGGCGGTTGAAACAAACGGCGGCGATTATATTTAGTAATCAAGGCAACGGTTTGTTTTCGCACCCATATTTGTTCCTTCTTATTTTGTTTTACGTATTATTTTATTTTTTGCTCTGCGGCTCCACTCACTCTCGTTTGAAACCCCAAACATCGCGGACGCGCGCTCCCGTCGGCCTTTTCGCCATCGACGCCGTCGTTCCCTTCGGGCGCGAATTTATTTTGTTAAACCCATTAAAGTTTCTACATTTATTTCAAACGCCCCAGCATTATTGTGTACAAGCTCTTTCTTAAATAGCGGTAAACGCTAAATATATGATGATGCATCCTTTTATACAATTTTCTGAACTACATTAGTCAGAGGATTATACTTGACCACACAATTGTGAATAATGAGGCAGAAGGCTGTGGTTTTAGCCGGAACGTCGCGTTTACACTCGAATTCCACACGCACATCCACAGTGCCGCTCTTTATCGATTCGTTTTGACGAAAACAATCGATCACTGTGATGGGGCTCAATTGTAAAAACTTATCAATGGGTAAATACATATCCTCGATTTCACGTCCGTAATAGGTTTTGCGAAATTTTGCATACATATCGTACAGCAGGGCGAATCTGTTATTTTCAAAATCTAAATTCATATCGTCATATGGATAAAATTTAGAATTGAAATATAATTTTACATTACTTAGTTTTGCAATCGTCGAATTTGGAAACATCCGCTATCGGGACGCCTCTTCGGCCTGTTTAAAGGGCGAAAATCACGTATCGCGGTTTTTCCAATTGCGCCGCCGCTTTCACAGCCCACGAATGTTTCGTTGAGGTTTGCAACAAAGGAAATTCATACAGATCCCATGAGCGAAAGGTCATACTTAAATACCGACCGCTCTCCGTGCGCAAAGTGCGCAAAAGTGATAATTTGTTCAGATCGTTCAATACCACATGCGGCATGCGCCATTGTACTTTTAATAATGTAAGTTTAGGATTTTTAGACGTTGGTTGAGCGATAATACTATCAACATCGTTGCGGGTACGTATCAAAACTAATTCGTGACGTGCGTTTATCACTATACGTTTGTAATCTTCGCAAAAATCTAAAAACATATTCAGAGGTACGCAGAAATTGAAATTGCGCAAATTATCGGTTAGACGTATGGCATTGTTGGTTGAATGAACATTCCATCCGGCATTCTGCAGTCTTTTGCTCCTTTCAGTTGTCAATGATGCGTAACTTTTTATCGTGCTGGTGATCCCGACATTTCTGTTTCTATCAATTTCCACGCCATCGAGTTCGTATCTAATTTCGTCGAACATAAACGCAACACAATTATTCACTAATTCGCATCTCCATTGCTGTTCATCCCTGTCTGCGTCGATATCTTTAACAATATGTTCCTCGATGTAGAGAAAACTTTCACACGGTAACGTATATAAATCCTGTTGTTGTATAGGTATTTGTATTTCGTCGCTGTAACCGAATGTGGCACTAGCGTACGGATTGTACGTGTGAGTTTCAATTTTCACAATACGATCGTCGAGGATCGGTTCGTCACCGATATGCAAAATATCCATCATGTTTTATTTGTTTTCCACAATGAAATCCAGCGAGCGTAGAAATGCGACTTTAGTTGTATTTAATTTGTTTCTTCTTTCTCCTCTTCCTCCTCTTCCTCTCATCCGTTTCTCTTTCTTATCCTCTGTCTTTGAGGTTATGTTATTTATATCATTAGACTTAATGAAATGTCGTCGTCCCTCTCTTGCCGTTACAAACAAATCGTTCGAGACAATGAGCATTTCCACATATTTTATTTCTCCTCACCTTTATCGTCGTCGTCGTATATACAATCATACGGTAATTTTTTCACAACGAAAATTAATCAGTTTTCCATCCTGATCCGTAATGCGCACCGTGAGATAGATAATGCTTCTCGTAATCACTGGTAGATAAATGATTTGTCGCGGAGCCACCGAAAGTTTATATCCCGGTGGAACGTGCGGTTCGAATTCGTGTATCGTATGTACCGGTTCCCCGTTACTGTATGCTCCTGCGGTAATATTACACTCTATGCGAATTATATTTATATTCATAATATTTACAGGTTTGTCAGATACATACCATTTATTCGGTTCTAGTACACGCGACGAGGAAAAACCCAATAACGATCCGACATTATTCGGCTTTGTGAAATTCAATCTATAAATAGATTTTATTTTGCTCCTCATAGTATTTTCATTGGCGCGTAGAAAAAGAAACGATCGTTTCTTTTATCATCATCATCATCATCATCATCATCATCATCAATAATATAGTTCACATTTTCAACGATGTTATGTTTCAAGTTGTTTATTTGTTTTTTAATTTTTCGCGCAAGATACGCACCTATGGCGGTTAATTCGTATGTTCCTTAGGGAATTGTAATTTTTTTGTCGTCATAATCGAAGTAAAACTTATTATTTGTAATATTTATATTCGGTATTGTATTGTACGTTTCAAAATTCATCAGGCCCAATTCATATTCACTGTCATTGAAATCCAATGCCGGGAAGAAATGCGCCGTAAGAATACTTTCCGTTCCAGTTAATGTGAGAGTTAACGACATGGTGAGCGTATAACTAGAGTGCGTTCCAATCGAGCTCTCGAAGAAAGCGTAAATACAATTGTCCGCAATTACGTTGATCGAATGTTTGATAAAAATGATGATTGTACGCAACAGTTACATTATGTCCAAGATAACGTACTATTTCGTGCGGCGGTCGAAGATTACCGAAACTGTCGAAATATATCGCTCTGTTGTCTTTTTTCGCACAAGC